TGGCGCAGAGTTGCATGACCGCGAAAATTGCTGACATGGTGTGGTAACCACTGTGTTTGTATATGACGTTCGTCGACACCTCGATCCATGTCACAATATCTTGCTGTGCGGCGTCCTGCCAATTGGTCCGTTCCTCGCTACTTTCCTGAAGTCGACTAAACTCCCATGCACAAGTATACGTTAACACTAGACAAAGTAAAACTACATAACATTACTTACGAAGAGTGCACAGGATCCGGTAAAGAGGTAAGATGATTCTTCCATCGTGTATCCAGGTGGAAGGCCAAGCGAAACACACCGATAATGATCACCACCCACACAAGTTGGATGACAAATGGCAACGGCCATAATAGCACGACCCAGAGCTTCTGTCCGTAGTCCTTGTTGCACGCTGGCTGGCTGAAGGTGATGTGAGGTGATGGGATGAATATGACGCAGATCATCGTGATCCAATACGCGAGACTACCGAAGGATATGACCTTCAACAGGCGAATCTCCCAAGACTTAGGGTTGTTCTTCTGCACCGGAAAGCGACTGGGTCTCCACAGCGACCAGAATGTGAGAACCCACAGGGTAAAACTTGCAGGTGACGCAGCCATGATAAGTGCGAACACGCCGTCACTTTGTGTGAGGTTATGATTGATAATCGATATCATCGTGGCGACGAAGAGGGAATACAGAAGGCCAAGATGAGCGTATATCATAGGGCGAATCAACGGTGGATAGTATATGAGCGCTATGGCTGATGATGATTAAAGAATCAGCGCCGAAGTCCAGGTACATCTACTGTAAATGTCGACGTACTAAAAGTGAACGATGTGACGTAAACTATGCACCCAGATGGTTGGAATGAGCTTTCACGGTTGAAAAGGAATCAACTAACTTGATACTTGCTGGCCGACACCCGTGACATCGGAATTTGGACATGGACCAAGATCACAAGAGTCCCGGGGAGGGTCCAGACAGTAAGCCTTCAAAAATAATGGATCTTGAGGCTGAAACGTTAAGGTGGTCATGGCTGGTAGACAAGGTCTTCGGAAGCTTCTACGAAGGGGAGATTATAACGGAGGTGGTTGGTATAAATAGTAGAAGCGGAGTCGACACCGTTCGGGGGGCGAGATTCTCACTTCACATGAAGAGAAATCTATGTGCGAAGTCTAGTCGTGAAATCTTCGGGGAATCAGACCTCAAGGTTTCAATGCCCTAGTCCATATCGATCAGTTCGTACTTTATATGTCTTCAGAACGACAGGAATACGCGTCCATCAGCACAATTTGGGGCGAAAGAACTTACAATCAGCATGGGCCGAAGCTTGCAACGTCCAGGAGGAAGCCTTGAGGCAGATCTAAATGCAAAGTGACAGATCATATGCATGGGAACTGCCAGGCCGGCGCTAAAGGACCTCCGTTTTGACAACGAGGTAGGCCCCAGGGTAAAAATAGAGACTATACACCCTCTTTCATGTGGATAATCAGCCACCAACGCGCTTGTTCTAAAAGTGATCGTCCCGTCGCCTCGGACTCCTTGTCTAATCGCGAGTCACACTGGAGCCTGGGCGCTACAGAATTGAGAAGCCCTCTGAGACCTATCAAAAAAAAATAAGCTGGTGAATGAAGTCAGCTGAGTCTAACGTACCAGCCGCTGATCTTGCATCTTGGGAATGCTCAAGTACAGTTTTGGCGAACGGAGAATTGCAATGTTCTTGTTCGGTGACTACTATGCATCGTCAGCTTACATGATTCAACGTCCATATGATCATCGGATGGATGACTGACCTGGCCAGGATGCCGACTCTGCTTTCAGTTCAGTACCGCGATGGAGGGTTCCCAGTTTCGTCTCGGGGACGAAGAGGCAGGTCCTGAGTCCTGGCAGTAGCCTTATTCAAAGTTGGCCGAAGTCGAAGTCGAAGTCGCAGCTGAAGGCTGACAAATATAAAATTTCGAGCTCCGCTACATGCGCGATGTCACGCTCGTCAATCTGGGCTCGTCGATAGCAACTTCTCCCCATCGTACGGCCGTTACGGCCATGCTCGACACGCGAAAGGAGTTAATAAAATTATTTATAGCAATCACCATGTACCAAATGCTGGAAATATACATCTCACTCGGGAATACACCCAGGACCTGTAGAGTATTGGAGATGATGATGATGCAGTCATATTTAGCCGCCGGCAAGCTACACTACAGAGCTAAGAAGCGGGGATAGCTAAGTATCCGTGAAATAAAGTAAAGTAAATAATGTCCGTTTGTAGGTACGCGATGGGATTAAAGTTCTCTTCCTGTACGGCAGATCGGTCGTCGTTGTGTAGCGGGTTGATGCGAGAATGGAGTGGGAGTGGGGGGCATAGTGGGTGGGTATCATACGCATTAGGCATAGCATGTAAGAGAAAAGAAAAGGAAAAAAAGGGGGTGTCGTGTGAAACTTGCTGGCGCGCTGTCGCCTCTTGTGGGCGGGCGCATGTGTATGGTCCGCTCTTGGGGTTTATTGGAAGGAGGCGGGCGCGTGCGTCACGATCTGGTCACACTCGGAGCTCGAAATTTTATATTTGTCAGCCTTCAGCTGCGACTTCGACTTCGACTTCGGCCAACTTTGAATAAGGCTAGTGGCAGACCCAGGCTGAGGTAGGGATCATGTGATTTAACGGCGGTCGGGGCTGCAGGCAAACAACACCAACGAGGCCCCTTCAGCAAGCCTCGAGGACTTGAACGACACGTTCACAAGCAATGTCAGACGCGGGCTTGCCGCACTCCTTGGAAGGATATGTCGCAGGTATGCTATCTTCTATATACCTACTACGCTGTCTGATAAGTAGTCACACTTCCAGACTCTCTAGCCCACCCTCTACTACACCTCTGCTGACAAAATCCGCCCATATCCACGCTGCAGGAAGCACGCCTCCAAGCTAGCGTTCTAGAATTCCTCGAGGACGACAGCAGCGCGTGTCATTTTGTGAATATCCGTAATTCGCAGCCCTCCCTCGTATGACAGCGGCACAGTATGTCCAGCGTTCATTCTGGCGATATCAGCTCATGTCATCTTCCAGATCAATTTGCGAAGTCGGACATGTTTCTGGTCGCTCAGTCAAGCTTGAGATCTGAGAGGCGTGTACAATACCACTTGAGTACGTTCCCTCTTGTTTTTTTTTGACGATTAGTTTTATAATTTTTTTGTTTTTGTTAGAGGCATTCTCGGCATCCAAGATGATTTCAATTTGGCTAGAGTCTTATTTACCAACATCCATGAAGGTGCGCCCTTGGCCTCCGTGATCTGGGCTGTTCTAACGATATACACGACTATCCAGGCCAAATTCGGGCGATGTCTGTTCTCGTAATGCACCTCCATTTCGCGTTGCGCGTCGCCAGCCGGACTTCAATCACGTACGGGCGTCAACTTTTACTTCTATCCGACGCTCCTGGCATGCGCAAACCCGGACCTATCCCATGCCATGGTTAAATATCGGCGTTGGTTATCGTGGTCTTACCCGGGCTCCGAATTACGTATGCGGACACATACACATGGCGACGTGGCCGAATGATTGAACGACTCTCTTCCACCGACGATAGCTCATCCCGCACCCGGATACGACCATGGCAAGTGTATCCAAGTCCGTCCAAGTCCTAGACCTCATGTTTGAAGGTATGTATCCTTGATTGACACCCGCTTGTCTTTGGATGCTGACCTCTGCCGCTTTTAGTACATTAAGGGTCAGCCTAGGGGGCTTGCTGTATAGGCTTCGGGCAGCGGTACTATACACATGAGCCTGAAGTAAGATACTATCACCTTCACCCACTCGCACCATGCCCGCCTCTGATTATATCGCAAGTCCCGGTCGAAAAATTATGGGGTGCTCCAAGACCGGAGCCCTTCCTTTTCGGCCAAGTGGTTTCCTTCTTTCTTTTGTTTCCTGCTACTCTTCTTTATCGTTCTCTAGCCGCTCCCCATGCTTTACCACTTTACCACTTTACCCACTACCTCTATGACCTTTAACCTTTACCCTTTGCTCTCTACCCTTTACTCCTTATCCTTTCACCTTCGACCGCTGCAACCGTGATGTTGTCTACTTGGATCATTGAAGGTACGCCTTTCGACTTGCGTCTCTCATTCCCTGCTCACCGGTCTAAAGATGCGTTGAAAGTCGTTAATCGTCAATATAAGTGCATTTCAAGGATGGCCGTGATTCGCGACGCGATATGGAAGACATTGATGGCTCGGGTACGTACTTCACATCACCACGAGGCATTGCAACTAACAGATTCCAGATTGTCCCGCTAATACTCGGGCTGGCGAGCGCATTCGGCTATCTTCAATAGAGTGAGAGATGCAAACATGGAATACACGGAGCGAAAGCTTTTACCTGCATTACGACGTGCCGTAGAGACTTTTTCAGTGATATCAGGCAGGAGTATCTCCGAAAGCTCAGGCCAACCGCTGGTCCCAACAGCATCGGGGTACCTCTCCCTCGTTCCGTCGCAGTGGTCACAGCACACCAACTGTATTCAAATACAAAATGCTTCTGGCAGACATGTGGTCTGGGCGAGGTCGGAAGCACGGACGTCAGAGCTGCGGCGTCTCGTGCAAGGCTGGCAAGAAGTAGAACGGGCCATTCAGAGTGTTGGGGAGGCTGGGCGACAGGACCGGCCGGCGACCTGGTGGATTCACGGGGACGACGCTACGGGGCCTCCAACGCCTGTGTTCATGATTACGGCGTTGCGATACGCAGATTAGATCATAGAGTATTTTCTGCCTTCCCTTCTTTTCCTCGTATGTATCCCTTTTCCTTGATCTGTCCTTCGTTCCCATTCTTTCCGTTCCCATTCGGCTCTACGCATGACTTGCGCATATTCAAATATGCTGTTGTCGGGACACACAATACACTTGAGAATTGAGCGCTGAGCTGTAGTCCCGACTCCCGATTCCCTACTACATCTTACATGGCCACTGCCCCTCATGCTCGCAAAATAGCACAAGAAAAAGAGTTTGTCATTTCGGTTCTACTCATAAGGCACTGCCAGGACTCGAACCTGGGTTACGAGAAGAAGCCGATCAACGATCAGAATCTCGAGTGATAACCACTACACTACAGCGCCGTGCTACTCATATACTCCGTGACCATACTATTGATTTGTCAATGCTGCATGACCGCGTAGAAATAGTCTCTAGACCGACGCGCATACAGTGCCACCAACCAATAAAACGCCTTGAGGCTCCCTTCATCGATACATCAGCGCTCAGCCGTCATTGACTTCTCTCTGGCGGAATTGGAGCCAGAAGCCAGATACCTACATACAGACCGTGAAAGTTGCTTACGCTGCAATACGCAGAACGAATGCGGCATCGAATATGCTGTTCTCAGGCTCTTACATCAATATAGACTAGTATAGACTCTGATTCGGGTTTATTACTTCCTTTCTACTAGTACTGGAGTATATATCCAATTGAGTCGCGTTGGTCCTGCCTTCGACGACCAGTTACTGGCTGTTGTCAGTGAATCACCGAGGATCACGGGGTTGAATTGATCCAAATTTCGCCCTGACAATTCCAATGAGCCGACCCGTATCATTTTCGTATCGAGGTAGCGCGTACAGAATTACTACGAAAAAGCAATCAAAACGGCAGATAGCCAGTTTTGCGTGTACTAGTACCTGATGTCAAAATAATACAGAGAGGGATGCGGGTGGGAGGGACACGAAAATAATCGGTGCCTGGTATAACGAGCTAGCGAAGCGTCGTCAACACGAATATCCCTGAGGATAAAAAGTGACTGTATCTCACCTAGCGAAGGAAAGTCAAGACGAGGATCCCTGGGGACGTCTCATCTTGTCTTGCCCTTCTTCTAGGCTAGATAAGTCTCTCAATTCGTGAAACCACCCCACGCGTGATAAAAATAGATCACCGCATCAAAACAAACCACTAACCCGCGCGGCGCGTTGTGTGTGATTGTTTTGGGTGTGCATGTGCACGCGCCGTGCCGCCGGCACCCAGTTTGACTGCATTGGACTAGAGTAAATTAAAATTTAAACCCTGACCAATTCAGTAGCTTGGGTCCTCAGGACTTTTCGGACTTTCGAAATAGAATAGCAAAATCGGGTCGGACAACCCGGCGGCTGAGAAGCCAACCGGGAAGCCGAGAGCCGACCCGTATCATTTTCGTATCGAGGTAGCGCTAAAATACTAATGTGAGATGAGGTACGATGTGAGGAGCGATAGGAAAAGGAGATCGCGGTAGGAAGTAAAAGTGTTCATTGTAAAGTAAAGAAAAGTGTTTGTTATATATAAAGTAAAAAGGGGAGGTACGTAGCTGGTTGAGAACGCGAAGATTGACCGAAAGGGTTCGTGGGATATCGGTCAGAGAAAAGAAAAGAGATAGAGAGACAGGGGCCAGGTGGAATAGGATGGGCATGGAAGAATAGGGGATCAGGGGCGGTGTATATAGCGAGGACGGTGAACGTAAACAGGCTCGTGATGGGAACGACCATAGAGGAGTGCTTGTAAGAGGACGGGATGTTTGCGGATATAGACTTGATAGGCATCGGATGACCAGCGGCCAATCCCCTGAATAATTGCAGGCGCCACCCCGTCCGCGGCCAGAGCGGTTGCCCCACCAGCTCTCATAGATGCACCCCCGATGTCGCCATCGAAGAATTGGCGAAGGCGCGTCATAAAATACCGACGCACTGGAACGGTCCCGTCGGCTCTGAGCCAGAGTGGGGAGCTAAAGGGGAAACGACGGTCGCGACTGGCCAGGTAGGCCAAGAAAGCGCGGTGAGGGTCGTTGATCCCATCTCTGCGTTGTAGGATGACAGTATTGCCCTCGAAGGCGACGTCGGCTTTGTGGGTAGGTAGGAAGAATTTGAATTCGGTGTCGCAGATAGTAACGGTGTTACGGCGCACAGTCTTGCGAGGGTTACGAAGGTTACGGTTGTCAGGATATGTGAGTTCACCCAGGCGTAACAGGGCGAAGAAACCGGTGAATAGCTGGGCGCAGAAAAGCAAGTCGTCGTGGTCCTGGGAACCTGCATAATGGGTAGCGACACGATCTAAGTCCTCGACGGTTAAAGCTCGTTTACGGTGAACCGGCACCCCGCGCGCTCGCCGGCAACCCTTCATGGTGCGAATAACAATAGGAGAGTTGCGGACTTCCCGCACGTTGGGGAAGTAAGGCTCGAGGAGGCCGCAGATCCCGGAGAGGTAAGAGCTGACAGAGTTGGGTCGAACGAATTCAGACATGTAAACCGCGTAGAAGCTAATAGTATCGACGGTGGGTTCGACGGGGAAATCGTGGTTGCGAACGAAATTGAGGTAGGAATTGAGTGCAGAGTTGTAGTTCATTTCGGTAGTGGAATCAATAGCTTGTCCGAGAGCAATGGCGCGCGCTCGAATGAGGCGCTCTCGACTCCAGACAGGACGGACTGGCTGCCTGGATCGAACGGGGAATGGGATCATTTTTCTAACGCCCCCAGTAACCTATCGGGGGGTTGAAAAACCTGAATATTCAGGAGAGGATCCATTTGCATAGCGACGTGGAAAAGGTTTCGGGATAACGCGTCGGCGACGCCGTTCTCCTTCCCGGGAACATGGATGACCCGGAGCTGATGGTCTGTGTCAATGAGGATATCACAGGCTACCCTAAGAAGGGTGTTGTAGGTAGGCAGGGCGTGTAAGGAGGAGAAGATATCGACTGTGTTCTTGTTATCGGTGAAGATGATGATTTTCGCCGGCGACGGAATAGGTAGACATGTCGCATGATGAAGGGCGAAGACGACGCAGAGAGCTTCATGATAGAATATGAGGTCCTTCGGCGCCCAGGCGGGAATCGAGCCGAAGAAACCTGTATGAGTCAGAGGGTGATAAAAACCATACCCGTCGAGAGATGCGTCACAGAATAATACCGCGTCTGCAGAAGGAAAAGACCAATCCAACGACCGGACGAGCCTCACGCCCGTTGAGTCGATCAGATGGTCCTTCGCCCATAGCAATTCCCTGCGTACATCGGAATTTACCCAGATGCGCGCGTTTGGGGAATCCTTTCCTGCGATCTTAGAGTATAACTCACAGATACATGGGCGCAGGAGTGGGTAGACGTTAAACGCCCAGTTGAGATGACCCCCTAGACCCTGCCACTCGCGGAGGGAGAATCTAGAACTACCGGACGCGCCAGTTGTGGCGCAGAAACGAGTAATCTTGGCGATCAACTCGGTTTTACTAGCCGCCGGCAACGTGAGCGTCATTTGGTTGGGGTCGACTTCGATGCCAATGATGACGAGCGGTGCTCCCGCGACTTGTTTCCGCTCGCTGTGAGGAATGCCGAGGTCGTCGAGGAGCTTGAGGAAGTTCGCCTGGCTGGTAGGCAACGACTTGTGATACGGCGGGTAGAACGTGTAGTCGTGCGATAAACACGGCCCAAACGCGTCGTCCGAATAGATAAGTAGCATATGTATTGATCGAACGTACTTGGCAATCCAGATGACCAGCGACATGAACGCGATCCAAATTGCTTGAGCCGCCCTACCCCCGAAAGCATTGCAGCGATCGACATGGCGAAGACCGTCAATAGTGTTAACTTGCTTGATTGCCCAGTAGAATGACATAGGCATGTGTCGATACGCCTCGGCGACGTCCGACTTGAAAAGAATAAGTTCTGCATCCTTCCCAATAGCCTCCCGAAGGAAGAGGAGCATGTTCCCGAGCAAAGACATGTCGTCCAAAGGATAACCCGATATGTCCTCCCGCTGTATCATCGAATTGAGGGAGAACGTACCCGCGGATTGGTCGGTTATCATTCTGAACGTGTCGGTGTTGGGCTTAGGAATTGCGTGTATGGGCATGCTGTACATGCCAGGGAGGAGATCAGGCCCGAAAGCTTCTGAGAAACGACCTTTGTTGATTTCGGTGTCCCGCTGGTCGCGCAGGAATTGAGCCTCCCCAGGTGCGGTAGGCGACCCAAAAGTAGCGTCATAGGTGTCCGGGTATTCCCCCCAATGAGTATCGGCCCAAGGCCAGAACCCCTCACGAAGGCCTTTACATATGGAAGCGACGAACGGTTTGTTGGGATGGTCGGATAGCAAGGATTCGAAGACATCAACTTTAATAGGAGTTACGATCTTGAAAAGATCGGGGTGGTCAGCGATGGTGTTCGCGACCACAGGGTTATTAAGTTCGGAAAGGGGGATGGAAGGTAGTGGTTCAGCGCTTTCGGTCCAATCGGCAGCTGACTTTGAGAGCGAATTCGGCGGCTCCCAAAGGTTATGGCGGAGGTATCTAGGCCTCAGCGCGCTTCGCTCCGCCTCCCTCCTGGACGCACTTTGATGCGCCGTGGCTTTTCGACCCACACTTCCTACACTGGTGGATGAAGCGACATTTCCCTGCAGCGTTGGTGCAGGGATGGTCGGCAGAGTTGAAACGATTGCAAATTTCGTTCCTAGTACCTCCCGATCCAGCGGAACCTTTTCGGCCTCCATCTGCTCCGACGAGCCGACCCATGGGGGTGCCGATGGCGGTCCAGAGATTGGTGAAGAGATGCGTGTCGGTGAGGAGGTTCTGCTGCCCTCCGGCGACCAAGTTCCGGGCAGCGATGTCGTAAAGGATAATCCTGCTGTGGTAGGAGACTTGGATGGAGGCGAACATGCCCTCGATATGCTTCGCCCACGCGTTAAGTTCAGCTGTACGTTCCTCGAACGCGTAAATATAGGCTTCGGCTGCAAAACGCCAGGCGAGTGACCAATCCTGTGAGGTGAGGATTTTCTTGGCTGGCTCGAGCCTGGAGAACCGGATTTCAGTATCTCCCACGCGGCCAGACTCCTCTTTAGGAGGGACGATTGAATGGATTGCGGAGAAGACAGCGTGGAGGTTGACGGCTGTTCCTCGGATAATAGCATCCCATTCGGGGAATCCAGGCGGGGCGGAGCAGCTGGACATGATATTGCGTTTGACATATTGCGGGTCCCGGGAGAATCGAGCGAGGACACTCTGCGTGATTTTACATTGTGGTCGCTGGACCTGCTGAGCGACAGCCTCCTTTTGGAACCATGGCATGTCAGTCGCGGTGAGTTTACGTCTCTTCCCATCCCCGTTAGAACTTCCTTCGGGG